CATTCCAACCACCCGAAGTAGGCCAGAGCATACAACAGCTGAAACATTATGATAAATATGGCAACAAAGATGAGGACGATAGTTTGAATAATATAACTAGTGATTCAGTTTTTTTTAGCAAATCATGAAATGAAAGGTGTCTTGAATAACCACACTTCTATATCTTTTTTGCATTAATGCAGGTATTCTTCAGGGCTCTATCCTTGAACCTATATTGTTTCTAATTTTTATAAATGACCTTCCTGATGTCATCAATTCTCAGCTGATGACACAACTATTTACTCCTGTCTTAATAGTAAGTCTGATAGGTTAGATACAGTTAAATTGGCAATTGATCTAACCCCCCCCCAAAAAAAAACCTACAATTTGTTATTAAATGGGAACTGTATGGCTTGTTAATTTTAATGCCTCCAAAGCAAAATTACTCTCTCTCAGAGAAAACCCTTTTTACCTTCCATCAGCATGGCTGATGCTAACCACCAGTAGAATGATTCATTGTGCCTTCTCGAACTAATGTTTTCTCCTGTGATGAAGTGGAAAGACCGCTGTCTGCAGCTGGGAAAGTTGGTTCACTGTGGGTGCTAGACAATTTTTCTTGTTAGAATCTGTCTTACATATAAGTTTACTATGTATCTTTGCTTTGAATATTGCTGCCACATCTGGTCTGGTGCTCCTGCTATATATTTAGAGATTCTTGATACAATCCAAAGAATCTGCAATGTTATTGACCCTGACCTGGCACCTCAGCTCCAGTCACTTTCCTGCCGCTGTAATATAGCTTCCCTGTACCTTTTCTGATGGATTTTCCTCTATGGTACCTAGACTTTATGAATTTAAGTGCAGTGCAAGATTGGTGTCATGGTTACATCTAGCCATTTCAACTGTTAAATGATGAGACCTTAAGTTCTATGCTAGCAGTTTCTTCTATTGCACTTCTCGCTTGTGGAACTCTCTTCTGGCTTCTTGCTTCCCAGCTTTGATCTCCAAAAATTTAAATGCAATGTCAAGCATTATCTTCTTTTTTCTTAATTTTAATTCTTATTCTTTTATTGTCTTCTTACCTTAATAGTATATTTTTCTCATATTTTCTAACACTCAGTAACCCCCTTGCCTCTTAGTGGCTTTGTCTTGCTTGGGGGTTAACATTTAACTCCTCCTGTCCAAAACACACTTAAGAAGAAAAACATCCTGTTGGTGTACAATTGATTAATATTATTTGAAAGTAGTAAATAAAGGCTGAAAAGATGGCAACTTTATGATAATAGTTTAGTGTTTTTTGGGGGGGGGGTAATTGTGGCAATACTGAAAAAAAATGAGTATTTATCTTGGTCTGTAGTTTGATGTTTATTCATTTTGTAATAATGTTACCCATTGGCATAGTGCTAAGTATTTTCCTTGTTTAAACGTTGCTGTACAGGCCGAAATCAGCCTGGAAAGACTGGCCATAAATCAGGCAAATGACTGAAGTTGTTTCAATATAAGTGATACCCCTTTTTAATTTGATTTTTTTTTTTTTTTTTTTTTTTTTTTTGCTAAATTTTTGTTTTAGTTCTATTTTTTAACTTTTGTTTTTCCTGTTCTTGGTAAGTCAGGATTGTGTGTGTGTGTATATATATATATATATATATATATATATATATATATATATATATATATATATATCTCTTGGAAAGAATTGTGAGAATGCTTTTAAGGTGTCTTTTGAAAGGCTATATTTTTCATCTGTACAGTTCAGCCTAGAACATTTGATCTCACTCACTCACTCACACACACACACACACACACACACACACAAATTGAGTGCTAGTGCTAATAAAATAATGCTCTATGTATAATAACAGAGCTATAATTTATATTAATAAATATACATTTTTTGGGGTTTTTTTTTCCCCCCCATTGGTAGCACAACTGAGTTTCATGCACAAATGCAATCATCATGTGCTGATTATGTTTGTTGTACTACTGTTAAGGAAAAATATATATTAGCTTAAAAGCCTCCCTATTGTGCAGCATTTAAGCTAACTCCTGTGAAGGGATCTTGATTGGGCCTTCATCACAATATGTAGGGTGGAGTAGATACAATAGGCAACAATAAACTACAGAAGAACTCAAAATTGATTGCTGCATTTAAATATTGCATTAATATTTAAGTTTAACGATAACTCTTCTGCCACCACTTAATTTATTAAAGACAATTTGATGTACTTATGCCCTTACTTTCCATACAAACAATTATTTTTATTTCATTGGTGACTTTAATTTCACAATTAATTTTGATTATTCCCAAATTACAAAAATTGTTAACATACAGAAAAATCTGTTGCAAAAAATCACTGAAAACAATTGCAGTAATGAAAATTTGGATTGCAGGCCCAGATCCGGCCTGGAATATTTTTCATTTGCTTACAGTTGGTTTGGTTCGAAAATGGTATATGTTGGGCTACAGCCTCTAGGCGCAAAGTTGAAAAAGTGTGACAGTGACATTAGCATTTATTATATTATATAATATATATATATATATATATATATATATAATGTATGTGTGTTGATATTCTGTTCATTGCAGAAGATGGTTTGCAAAATTCAGAGGTGGAGATTTCACCCTTGAAGATGAAGATCAAACCAGACGTTCAGTTGAGTTTGATGAAAAGCTTCTTGAAGCAGCCCTTGAAGAAAATCCTGCTTTATCAGTTGAGGAATTGGCAGTGGTTCTCAGTTCAAACCATACAACTGTTCATCGTCATCTTCAACAACTTGGAAAAGTTCCTAAACTTGGAAAATGGGTGCCTCATGAATTGTCTGAAAACAACCTCAAATCCCAAGTTGACATCTGCTCTTCTCTCCATTTTCGCCAACTTGTTTCACCTTTTTTGGATAGACTTGTGACTGGCGACGAAAAATGGATCTTTTATCGAAATGTTAAGCATCGTAGACAGTGGCTTGGTAAAGAGGAAGGACCCCAGCCACAGCCGAGAAGGGAACTTCATGGGCAAAAGGTTCTTCTTTCAATCTGGTGGGATTGCCAAGGAATAATCCATTTTGAATTCTTACCACCTAATGCAACAATTAATGCTCAAATATACTGTCAGCAATTAGTGTTTGAACCAAGCTTTGAGGAAAAAGACCTGCTCTAGTGAATCAAAAAGGGGTGATGTTTTATCAGGACAATGCACGACCACACACAGCAAGAATCACGTCACAAAAGATCGAAGAACTTGGTTGGGAGAAAATTCTTCATCCACCTTATTCTCCCGATCTTGCTCCTTCAGACTACCATTTGTTTCATAGCTTACAGAATCATTTGGAAGAAACAGCTTTTGTAACACAGGAAGAGGTTAAAACTGACATTTGTGAGTTCTTCAAATCAAAGCCAAAAGAATTTTACAGTAATGGAATTAGTAAGCTTGTTAATAGATGGAAGTCATAGATAATTAGGGAAAATACATTGTTGATTGAATCTGTAATTAAATGTAACATTTGGTCACTTGTTTTCTTTATTCAAAATTCAGACAAAACTTATGGGATGACCTGATAAAAAAAAAGTAATTATAATGTGTTGACCAAGTAGTTCTATTTTTAGCATTGTGATTAATTTTGCAATGGCTGTTGGATGACTGGTTATAATTATTGTTCAGATTTCATTAAATTTTTCATAAATATCTGTGAAATAACTTCAACACTTTTTACAATTAAAGATAAAATTCATATTTAACAACATTTGATTCACTTTTTATACATATAGAATAAGTAAAAAATGCTAAAAGCTCTCAACTAAAATTGCAGTAATATTCATTGTTTCTAGAAAATTTATGTCTCTTAGGATATGTACAAAATTAATTATATTTTAAATAATTATATTTTAAATAAGCAGATTTATATATTGCCTATTAATTTTGGGCCAAATTTTAGGTCTTGACTATAGAATTTTCATATTTTAAACTTTTATTTTTTGTGTATATTATTGATGCTATGTGATGGTGATAGTGGACATTTACAACTTTCTAAATAGGATAGTCCTGTGAGTTTTTTAGTCTATTGAACTCCTTCTTTATGCTGCTTTTGTTATTGGTACATTTCAGCTAATCCATCATACAGCCTTTTTCGGGTGTACTTGTCTTGGAATTATCAATAGAATATAAGTTTGTTTTTTTTTCTCTTTTTCCAGATTATTTTGAAAGATTTATACATGTGTAGTATAATCATCATTTTATATTCTCTGTCCATCATTATGATATAGCAATGATAATAGGTTATTGGTAATTAGACAAAGTGGTAGGCAGATTAAATCCATACTTTTTTCACAATAGTATTTTTAGATGCTATGGCCATTTTCAGAGTCGTTGACACCTGTTCCAATTTATATTGTTATATTTCTATAATTCTTGAATAATTGCATATCTTACATTAAAAATGGTAATCGTTGGTTTGATGAAATTAAAATATCAGAAAATTTTATGAAGTATCGAAGAAATATTATGTCTTGTAATATATGGAAAATATATCCCCGCTTAACTTGAAATAAGATCCTTCAGAAAAAAAGAAAATTGTTTAGATAATTGATTATATATATATATATATATATATATATATATATACACACACATACATACATACATATATATATATATATATATATATATATATATATATATATATATATATATATATAATGATTCCAATCTACATCTTTTCTTCATTGACATTGGAACAGCAATAAACTAATGAACTTCATTTGTAACAGATTTGTATGCAGGATAAAGTTGTAAAAAGAATATATATATATATATATATATATATATATATATATATATATATATATATATATATATATATATCCCAAGTACATGCAATGTCTACAGGTGCAAACTTTAAAGAATATCTTAATTTCTATCTTCTTTTAAGTAAATGATTGCTTCACAGACATATTAATTCTTTGTCAAAATTTTACATCAGATCTCAAATATCTTAGACTATATTTCATTGCATGTTTTTTTTTCCAGACACATGCGAATCCATGTTTTTACCAGAAAAAAGGCACTAAGGATAAATTAGCCTTGCTGAAGGACCAACAGAAGCGTCTAGAAGCGGGTGATATGTTTGGCTTGTTGCCAGATAAGTTTTTTTATGAAGTCACATATGGCACCGTCCAAAATGGGAAAATAGAGCAGTAAGTATTACTTATCCCATTTTTTTATTTTAGCTTTTTCTTATCCTTGATGTATAGATTAAAATCCAACATAAGTCTATTTTATTAGCCACTGACTACCTCAGGTTTAGTATTATATAACATCAAATAACAAAAGGAGAATTACCAGTTGGATATTTTTTGTGTATCATGGATATCATTTGGAATTTGGAATAACATAAAAATCAATAACCAAACTCCAAATTGGAAAAGTAAGACAAAAAAAAAAAAAAAACAAATTCCTTATGAATTTGTTGTTGTTGTTTTTGGGGTCCCCTCACCCAATTTGGAGTTTTGTTATTGATTTTTATGTTATTTCAATTATAATTAATCATTCTTGTAAAAGAATATATCTAAACTGTAGGATTTAAAGAAGCAATAAAAAAAAAACACCTCAGATTGTAATATCTTTATCATGTAGGAAGGTAATAATTGCTTAAGGCATATATCTATATATTGTGTCTATGCATTATTTTAGATACAATTATTTAAGTAAATACTCTGTTTATAATAAACAGCATTAACTACATTTACTGACCTGAATGTCCAAGAAATTTCATAGAAAATAGGTATCTTCTGACAGGAATCAAACCTGTATCCTAGATGGAACTCTCTTTTGGTATGACATGCTATACTATTTAGCTACAGAGGAAGCATCTGGTTAGCAAAGTCAAATGTCAAATTACTGTTTTTAAACAACAAATTTCCCATTATTTCTCTCAAACGATCATATCTGCTCAAAGCTTATCTTAACATAAACAATAGACAACAGATATTATGAAATGGAATGGACTAAGTCCGGCAATTATTTTGATATATTATAAACAGAGCATTTACTTAAATAATTAAAATGTATAATTGTCAAACTTCCTCTGTAGCTAAATGGTATAGCATGTCAGGGCAAATGACTGTTCTGTGTTGGATTCAAGTTTGATTCCTGTTGGAGGGCATGTATTTTCTATGGAATTTCTTGGACATTCAGGTCAGTAAATGTAGTTAGTGTTTATTATAAAAAGAGCATTTACTTAAATAATTGTATCTATAAAAATAATGTATAAACAGAAAATATATTAAAATAATTATTGGACTTAATCCATTTCATTTTTATTTATATATATATATATATATATATATATATATATATATATATATATGTGTGTGTGTGTGTGATATATAATGTGTGTGTGGATATGTGATTTTTTTTATTTTTTATTTTAAACCGATAGGTGACTACTAGCATTATATTTAAAATATTTTTGATTCATGATAAAAAAAATCTCTGCATATAGTTTAAAGATATTTACTGGATATTTACTAAAAGTAATGTTTAATGTGATAAAAACATGTCTTAATGATACTTTCTTCAAGTTAGCATTCTTATCTTAAATACTCTGAGAGATCAGGTCTTATAATATGACAGTGTGTAGAATATTTGTTCATTTTTTAAATTTTTGATTTCCAATTCTTTTGAAATATTTTATATTCTCTTTTTGCTAAATCTAACACCCTTAAATTTGCAGTAATGTTTTAATACCATTTGGGAGAGATAGTAATTATGCCATGTTTTGGTAATAAAACAGAATATAGCATTTTTGTAAAACTTGTAATTTATATAAAATATTTATGCTGTTAGGTTGGGTATTATGGTAGAAAAGAAATGAATATACAAGTTGGGTGGAAGTTACTATTGTTGAAGTTGCTTTGATTAATAAAAGTCGGTCCTTTTGTCTACAAGAACAGTGATTATATAATTGATGTGTATATATTCACTTATACACAAAAGGTAAATATATAAATATATACACTGCTAAGACTAGAACAGTCACCAACTCTACAAGTATTTATGCTAAGTGAATTAAAAAGAAAAGGGACCTCATGTTAACATGCATTTTCTCTTTGCAGAAAATATTTCAAATGTATGGTAACCAGCTGACATGTAGAAAAAAAATGGTTACAAAAAATATAATGAAATGTCCTCTAACAAGCACAAGGATTTTACAATGCTAAATTTTATTGAATTAAGGCCGAAGTTTCTTACAGCAATAATGAATTACATAAAAAAGGAAATTTTGTTAGTACAAAATTATCATTTGGTTCTTATAGTGTGCCAACAATTAGAATATATCCTTTCTTAGTATTTTTCCCTCTCCTTCCTTGACTAAAAGCATCATATTTTAAATATAATATTCAAAAGATTGCAGTAGAAGTATATCTAAAGGTAACATTCTAGGTTGGCTATGTTTTATTTTAACTGCTTTTCTTTTACTATGATGTTAGGTTGTAATGACCTGTACCATATACAACACTTACTATGCTTATTTAATTAAAATTCACATAATGTGCTTCATTGTCTTTAAAATTTGCTAGTGTCAATGACAACATTCATCTTTATGGTTAATGGTGGTAGAGGCTTTTTATTAAATACCAAGGTAGCAATCAAGAGAAACCTATGGTATTTACTGGACAGCAAAAATAACAAAACAAGTTGTACTCATTTACAACCAATTTTAAATCTTTGGTTAGGAAAAAATGATCAGTTATAATTGTTTTTTTGTTTCTCTGATTCAGAAATCAGGTCGTCTAAGTAGCTGAGAGTCACCATAAGTTGTTTGCTAGAATTGATACAAAAATTGTATTTCTTGACAGCATACAGTAACTATGAGGAACTGCTGTTTTATATCACTACTATACTGAATTCACTTTGTCTTCTGTTTAATAATATTGCTTCTTACTATTAAAAGCATTAATAATTTTGTGAGTCTTTAATGGTTTCCAATAATACATTTTCATGTTTCCATAAAATATACACTCATTAGATGTCTCTTATTCAATTTATAAGTAATTTATATTTGAAAAAGATAGTACAACGTTATAGACTAATAAAGTATGTGAACTCTTTCTCTCATATGTGTTGTCTCTGAAATTATCATTTTGGATAGTTGTTTATTTCTTATATTTTTTAATGCTATCCTGGGTCTTTGTGATAAATTTGCCACTGAAGTCCTCTTAGCTACCATGAATCACTTTGATTCCAAATATTCAATGAGTAGAAATACTAATAAATGCTCTAAGCAAGTCTATATAATGTATATGTATCACTTTGCCAAACAATTCAATTAGAGGTTTCTGCATTTCTATTCTAGCTTATTGGAGTCTTAAAGTAGGAATTCTGACACTAAATAAGGAAATGGCATCACTTAATTTTTACTACACTGACTTCAATATATAAATCATGTAATTCCATTTCCTTTTACCTGGACAAAGTTTTCTTTCTTATCCTTTATTCATTACTAATAATTAGGAGATTGATAAAATGTAATATAAAACAATTCGCATGAAAATGAATATTACTTTATTTAGCATAAGCATTAGGGAAATATACATTACTAATTTTCATACAATAAACTGATGCTGTATTGATATGCATAAAAATGATGCTGAAACATTTTGCTCTGTGGTAAATGTCTCTTGTGAAAGCTCTTCCTAATGCATTGTATTTAAATTGAAAATCTAAGTACTTATTTAATGTGACATACCTTTTGAGGCAATTCTGAGATCTGAGATTGCACATGGAAATATATTTATATATTGTTAGGCAAATTTTAATTGTTACTAATTTGCTTCTTACATGCATATATATATATATATATATATATTTTAATGTGTGACAGGATCAGTTAATTTCATTATGAATTTTATCAATGAGATAAATGTTAGCTTTTTTTTTTTTTTTTTTACAAAAATGGTTTTATCTGCATCTAAAAAATTGCAATAAATGTTAAATAAACATTAGATAATTATAAAAAAGAGTATAAAGCAGCAAAAATATTTAAGAAAGTACAATTATTTAAAATAAACATTTTTATGAACTAAAAGAAACCTTTGTTTTATTTTTTAACTCACAAAAAGTAAAATTGTTATCAGAAATTTCACATTGTTTAAGAATCATTTTTATAGAGACTAAAGATTTATTTTTATAACATCTACAAAACAAAAAAAACTATTAGTGAAAAGATTTGTGTGTTTGATCACCTCAACACACCCAGATTTATACTTGATGATTCCCAAATTCTTCAGTGATGAATTTTATTAGTCTTAATATGTTTATTATTTCTTTTTCAGTGAATAACATTATCTAATTTTTCTCTCTCCTCTTCAGGAAAGAATTAAATACAGGTGATAAAGAAGGGAAGGATTCAAAGAAGGATGTAAATAAAGAGGCTGACAAAGATACAGCAAAAAAAGAAGGGAAGGCAAATGAGAAAGAAATGAAAAAAGAAACACCTGAAGACAAAAAGAAAGAAAGTAAAGCCAATGATACAAAAAGTATGTAAAATTAAAAAATTCAGTCCTTATACATATATTCAGTTGGAATAAAAGTGCATAGCGTTTTTCAATAGGTGATGTTTGATCATGCTGTTTCACATGTTACAAAAATTTGACATGTACACATATTCTCAAAGATGACATTTCAACACTTCCTACATGATTTGTGTATGGATTATGAATTTTAAATGTTTTTATGTTAAAAGTGAAAATGAAAGAAAATTTGTCATTTGATATTGTTATTATCATTATTATTGTCATTTGATAATGTTATTTATGGAAAGGAAAATCTGTACAAACAGCAAAAAAGATATATGCCATTTATGGAGATGGTAACATAGCCTAGAATACTGTTTGTGAGTGGTTTGCTAGTTTCAGAAGTAGAAATTTTGATCTGGAAAACTGAGAATGTTCCAACAGTCCTGCAGTTGTTGATGACCAAATTGAAACACTGGTTAAAAATAATTCAGGTCCCGCAACACCGGACATCAGAGATGTTCCGCATATCTCATACAAGTGTTATAAAGCATTTTGAAAACACTTGGATACATGAATTGCTACAATGTTTGGGTATCTGATAATATAACAAAAAAAAAATTTAATGGACTGAATTTTCATCTATAATTATTTGCTCAAATACAATAAAACAACCCCTTTTTTGAAGACAACAATCATAAGCAATGAAAATGGATTGTTTACAACAATATGGAATGAAAACAATCTCGGGGAAAACAAAATCAGTTTGCATCAAAAGAAGGTAATACTGCCTATCTGGTAGATTGGAAGGGCATTGTGTTAGGAGCTCCTTCAGCAAAATCAGATGCTGAATTTAGACAATTACGGTTCTCATTTGGACTGAGTAAAAGCTAATTGGAAGGGTGTTGTCTTCCTTCTCTTTGCAGACCTGGCAGAAATTGATACAGCTACTAAACCCACTGTAATCACCTGGCCTTGCATCTTTGAATTATCATTTTCTCTTAATGAGACAAACTTTAATTTTCTGGAAGCCTATAAAAGCAACTTTTCATCATCCATAAAGATTTCAAGTTGTTTTTTTTTTTTTTTTTAGTGGGGGGATGGAATCCTGAAGCTGTCTCAAAGATAGCAAAAGGTAGTTGAACCAGATGGCATATATGTGGTTGAATAAATCCATGTATAAATACTGTCATTGAAATTAATTTAGAAAAAACTCTACAAACTTTTGTTCCAATGCAATACATGTATAGTTTATATGCAAGACATTTTCAATTTGTACATTCTTATTTGTATATATTTACAGTTACACTCTTATGCACACACACACACACACACAATCATCTGAATCCCAAACTAGAATTATGCATTTACATATAGAAAGCAATATTTATGGTTTTTAGTTAGGCTTGGTATCCATTAATTTCTTGGAACTTCAAAGGGATGTGTTGTCTCTCTTTGAATTCGGAATGCCATAAATTATACTAACATTTGTTTTTAACAATTCAAATGCATGTGACACCTGATTAACCAATACAAATCAAACAACACAAAAGTAAAAATACCAGAATTTTTTCTTCATAGCTCATTCTCTGATGAGGTTTTAATAATAGTGAAACCTGTTAGATTGATTAATGTTTCCTATGTGTTCTTTATCTTAGAATTTATTATCTTTTAATAAATAAACTTATAAATATCTTCCCAGATTTTAATTTGTTTAAATCAAATCTATTGTAATTAAAATAATCAATTTATTTGGCAAAAAAATTTCCATTATAAATTCTATTGACTATTGTTTATTAGTAGAATTATGAAAATGAAAGCATTTTAAGATTATTAATAGTGCCTTTTAGTATTTTTAGTTTATATACAAAACATTCCATTTATCATAACGCCATCATGTATATGCTCAAAAATATTTAACTTGATTTAATAAAAACTATAGAAGCAGAAAATAAATTAAGACTAAGGATAAATTATGCAAGTCCTTTTATCAAGTAACATACATTGTTTAATTTTTGTTCCCATGTATATCTAAATTTGATTTGTTTAAAAAATAGATTAAATTAAGGAAAATTAGGGATTTTTTTTTCCAGGTTAAAGGTATATTTGGACAAATTTTAGACATATTTCCTATTTTATGATTTAACTTAGTGACTGTATAATTTATTATCTTTTAATAAATAAACTTTTAAATATCTTAGGATATAATTTGCTTAAATATATTGTAATTAAAATAATTAGTTTTGTTAACATTAAGGTTTATGAATTTTTCATCTTTTAACCACTGATCCCAGAAAATGACCTCTCTCTCTCTCTCTCACTCTCTCTCTTTATATATAATCACTTCCTATTGTGTGCATGTGTTTAAACATGTGTGCATTTGCATAGATATTTTGAACATTTAACAACATCCAGCTCTTGGAAGGAACTCTAAATTTGGTTAAAAGAAAGCAGACAAGTAACATTCATCAGAGATATTTCAAATTAGGGTATGAGTTTACCTGTTATTTCAACACACCTTATTTATTTACAAAAAAAAATTTTTTTTATACAGCTTATATATATATATATATATATATGTGTGTGTAATATGTGTGTGTGCGCATGTGTGTAATATGTGTGTTATATATATATATATATATATATATATACACACAGCCATATCACATTGAAACATTGGTTCTCATACAATCTTCAAAGTTGAGCAACATCGAACATTTAGATGGGTGATTGCTTGGGGGTGCAGGTGGTGTAATGGATAACAACTCAAAATTGAAAAGCTGTGTTCCTATTCCAGTCGGGTTTGTTATATTCATTTACATGCAGATACATTTGGGAAAGGTATGAATTCTCTTCTTCCCCGCCGCTATGAGTTAATTAGGACTTGAATCAGTAAATCAGTATCTTCAAAAATTCTTACTGGCATTAAATGACTTGCAAAAAGTTGATAAGCTATAAAAACAAATCAATCAGTACATGCATATAATATACACACACACACATACATAAAAGTTCTTAATGTATAAATTTTGTAAATTTGTGTTATATCTGAAGCCATAATACATGTGCCTGAATGCATGTCCTTTTTTATGTATTCTCTATTAAATCTTGGTTATGATTTTTATTTTACTTTAAATAATTTAAAATTTCCAGCCTCAGAAAATGTAAAAGAAGAAACCGGAACTGATTCTGCTGCAACCAAAGAAAAATCTGATAAAACAGTAAAGCAGGTAGGTTTCTATTTTAATTTGAAATGTAATATTAAACTCTAAGACAGCAAAATATTAAGTTTCTTGTTCAGCTTTTGCAAATAGCTTGTTTTTACTAATTAGTGACAATCATGAACTCTTTAACTTGCCTTGAATTGCAACTATAATTTACTTTTAATGGCTTTCCTTTACTATTTTTATGAATATTAACAGTTGTTAATGTTGTTACTTTGATTAATGTTAGTGATAAAAAAAATGATTGAATCTATATGTAGTTATTTATATTGACAAGTGTAGAGTTATAAAAATGGAAAAGTTTGAATATAAATAGAGGAGGAATTATAACTTAATTACCATTGTTATACTATATATTCTTCCTCTATTTTGTTGTAGAATATTTTTAAAAATGGGTGAAAATTGTCAATAAGTACAAGTTATATGAAATTAGCATACATTTACCAACCAGACATGGGTGCGAAGACTGGAATTTCTTTTTTTTAATTTTAAATAACTTCAAATAAAATTAAGAGTAATGTGGTTTGGTTTTTTTTGTTGTTTTGGGGGGGGGGTGTTGTATAATTTTTTTTTATTATTAAAAATATTTGAATTTTTAACACGAGAACCCAAGATTTGGCCTCATTTTACAATTTTTTTTTATTTTGACAATATAATAATTTCCTAATCATTTTTATTAAAGACATCTTTAGTCAAGCTAACATAATCCATGAAATGAAAATGGAAACAAATTAGAAATCTTTCAGTTTTCTCATTTATATTATGATCTAGTATGCATGTTTGTTATTGTAACACAGAAAAAAAGGCACATCATGGCACAACTTTTGTTTTGAGAATACTTTTAAAATGCTCTAACTTACAGAACCCTAAACCAATTTTTAGTTGAAATAGGCCACTTGTTTACAAGTAATTTTTAATTATGTATACATTGACAAAAACATCTGTCCAAAGGAGATTAGTTCATGTCTAATAACTGCTAATTACAGTCATTTCTTTGATTTTTCTTAAACAAATAAGAGGAATAAGCAGAGGAAAATCTTTGATCTGTCTGCAGTCCATTCTATTAGTCATAGTGGTATACTTTAATGATCATGATTAAGCAGTGATAATTAACATTTGCAAATTTAACATCAGTTTTATAAATAGGAAATGACTTGGTATTGAGCTAGGGCTGGCAAAGACAGGAATTAAGTATTATTTAAAAACCTTTTTTGCTGCCTATGTATTACTGTATGCCACTATCAACTTTAGTCTTTAAGTGTTCCTTCAGGATAAAATAATAGCCACCATATTGCTGCTGTGTTCAGAAGAATTTAATAAAATATTATTGATCAAAATTGGAATACTGTTCATGTATAAACATTTGAGTTATTTATCCAGCCAAGATTGCTTCATTTTCATATTAAATTTAGTCTTCTTACCTCGTGATTTTGTAAATACTTCAAAAGTTAAATAAGTGACATTCAAATACATTCTACACCAGTGTCTGCTTATTTTTCTTATTGATAATTAATTCTTTATAGCTTTTATTGAAACTGAGTTTGTATGTAAAATACATGCGGAATTACTTTCAAAAGTTTGCTTTATTTTTTTTTATCTGTTCAAGGACTTTTGTGATAAGGAATATTTCATTATGTATTGGACATGTATAGGAGTGTTCTCTGTTTTGTTAAAAAAAATTAGTTTTGATAAATACTACATAAAATTTCAAGAAGCTCATAGGGGAGACCTTTCAGCTATACTATCAGTTTTTGTATATATTTCTTAAATTAACATGGAAGGGGACTAGCAGAGGTTTGTATAGAATTCTCTTGTCCTTTTGGATATTATCTCTGTTGATAATAGATTAAAGAAAAAAAAACACTAGTCTTACCACTAACATTTCTCTCAAGAAGATTGATCTGTCATCTCTCCAAACAAAGTGCCACATGTAACATGACATGTCTTCTAATTTCCTTTAGAATTTGGTTGACAATATAACAGTACTCTGTCAATCTAACTGCAAAAATTGTTGAAAATTCTGGAAGCCCTTCACATCAAATCAACCCACTATCAATACAATTTTTTCAATTTAAGTGCACATGTGTTAAATGCCTTTGAACTATAAGATCATTTTAGTGGCATGGTGCTAAAATATATTCCAGTCATAGCATGTAAACCCACGTTCATTTTGAACTTTTACTGTTAACAATGTAAACTCCTACAACTTTGTACAACTTACAATCTAATTGAAACAAATTCTAATTTTATATAATTTTTTTTTCTTTAGTACTGATAATCAGTTAAGTTCAAGTCAGTATTTAAATATTTTGTCTTAGGTTTTATATATAACAGAATGTAAAAACATCACCTTTTTCTTCAGAATAATATAGTTGTAATGCAAATATTTAATTTTTAAGGAGTAAAAAAAATCAAGAGCTATATTGTTATAAAAATTTAAAAAATTACTGTTAATTAAAATTAGTTTAATTAAATTAGTTTGATTCCTAACTTCACCTAGCAGATATAAGTATCATGTAAAGCACAATAGTTTTTGAATCCAGAAAAAAAATCTTAAATGTAGACAAATACTTATTACTGTTAATATTTTAAAATTTTCTATTACAGGAAGAGAAAACTACTGCTACCAAGGAAGAGGAATCAAGTGGCAAAGAAGCATCAGATACCACAACACAAAAAAAACGCAAACTCCCTGAATGGTTGGTTAATGCTACTAGCACCCCTACCACTGAGTCATCCCAAGAACAGAAAGAAAAACCACAGAAAACTCCTTCGCGGAGAGGAGGTAGGTGGAGACTTCATCTGTTTCAATACTCTCTCCCTATACTCTTTTTAAGTCCACATCAATTATCATGCCAAAGAAGTTTTTATAGAATTTCCTGATAATTCACTTATAAAATTTATATGGTTATGAGCTGGTGGATTTCAGATTTTTGAAAAATGTGCAATTTATTTTGTCATTTAAGTATACTATTTTTTTTATTTGGTTATCTTAAGTAACAAATATAGTGTAAGTCTATCTGAAAGTACCAAGAACAGAAAGTAAAATATCTTCTTATACATGAAGAATTTAAATGAAGAAGTAAAAAAGATAAAGAACTTTTGAATAAAAACAAATGAAGCAGCCTTTGAAAGCATTAGCATTAGTACCTTTGCTACTTGATGTATAAAGTTTGGTTGATACATTGATGTCAAATCTTTGGGTCAAAATAGAAATTCTTGTATTAGTGGAAAAAATAATTCTTGAATTAGCAGTAAAATATAAAGCTCAATCATTGGTATATGATTTATACATTCTTTTGTGATTCCTTGCAAATCCTCATTGCCACTTTTGTGATGCTGGATGGCTTCACTTGTCACTTTTGCTATGTCAAGTGAAAGCCTGTTATCATTTCCAAAAATGCTTGTTATATTAGAGACTTCGTAGATGCCAGAACTAGTAGTAACAACTTCCAATAATATCCGCACTAGTAATACTTGTTCAATTAGTAATCGCCAAATAGTATAATAATCAGAAGAGAATTGTAATCTGTATAGTAGTAGAGAGAGTGAACGTCTAGCAATAGTAGATAGACAAGAAGAGTGAACAGTGATTGTATAGTCATCATGCTATTTTCTATTTATTCACCCCCTTTATGATCACGTGAGCTACTTAATATTCATGAAATATCTCTTTCTTCGAAGCAAGAAAAATTGTCGAAACGCAGACACCCACAATAACATATGCCTCTATGCTGACCTCAGAAAATAAACATCCTGAATATCCAAAAAAAGAGACAACAGAAAAAACTAACTACAAATCTGAAGAAATCTCAACCTTAATAGATAACCTGAGAATTCTACTTACTGAACTAACCATAATACTCAAACCTGAAACGATGACAACAGCTAAAAATAACCAAAAAAACAACTGAACACTCCACATCAAATACCACAAAACAAACTCAAAAAGAGGAAACCAAAAGCCTCAGCAGAAGCCAAACAGACCTGCAAAACCAAGACAAAGAATCTACAACAAACAACCTGAAAACTCAAAACAGATCTTTACTTCTCAACAAAATAGGACAAGAACAATCAGAAAACACAACCACAACTGAACTCTTGAAAAGAACACACCATGGAAAAAATGTGACCTCAAAAAGACACACAAAGTCATAAGAAAAGCCAGCTGAGTCAATGATCAACTTCCAAGAACAGGTCAAAAAGCCAAACAAAATCCTCCCCGAAAAAAAAGAAACAAAACAAAAACCCTAGAAACATGACAACTAAGAATACCCCACCATCCCTAGAAGAGATGGATATATCATAAAAAAAACCCAAAAAAACAATGAACTCAAGAACACACAAAATTCTACAATGGAACTGCAGAGGAATGAAGGCAAATATAAATGAACTGCTCTTACTAATTACAGTCCTAAACCCAGCTATAATATGTCTTCAGGAAACCTTTTTAAAGAATAACAATAAGATAAATATAAAAGACTACCAACAATATAATTATATTAAAAACTCTAGTCTTCAAGCATCAGGGGGTACATCTATTCTAATCAGAAATGACATACCACAAAGTCTTATTGTCTTAAAAACAAATTTACAGGTAGCAGCTGTAAAAGTGACTTGAGTCTTTGAAGAGACAGACACCAAGATATACAGTTTCCTTTCAGAAATTGGCATCCATAACAAAATTTAAAAAAAAAAAAAATTTATTTTTCTTTTTATAACTTAACCCAATGCCACGATTAAGCTTTGCTAAAATACTTGCAAGAGCCTTTAAGGCTGGAATATCAGAATATCTATCTATATGTCGAAGTGTGATTATCAAGCTATTTATCTGATTGTCAATGTGTAAATATCAACATATATATCTTTATATTGAAGTATGAATGACAAGCTATCTATCTAGTTATCAAAGCCCGGATATCTATTATTGGCATTAAATAACCCAATGAGGTTGATATGCCATAAAACACAAACCAACCTATCCTTCCTGAGGTGCCATGCATAACACATGCTCGGATAATCATGTCTTTTTTTTGTTTTTATTCATGATTGACTTAGCAGAAGAATTCCCGCAGTAGACTGCCATTACTTTCTGCAGTAGACTGGTTATCAACCACGACTATAAGACCTAGTCTGTACTGCTATTTAACCCCTAGTTGGGGGAAGAAATTGATTCATAACTTCCCAAGGGTATTTGCAGATATGTGAATGTAAAAAACTTGACTGGAATTCAAACTCGGCTCTATGATTTCTCATCCCAACCTGTTATCCATTACACTTCCACACATGCACACTTATAGTACCTGGCATTCTCAAGTGGTCACCCATCTAGGTACTGACTTGGCTTGACATTGCTTAATTTTGGTGACCAGACAAGAACCAGTGTTTCAATGTGATGTGGCTGTAAGACCTATTCATTTATAAGATTAATTAATTCTTTATTGAGGTTAACCTTTAATAAGCTTTTCTTAAAAAGTAGAGAAAGCAGTCATTTATTCACAATCCTTTTCAAAATTTCAAAAACTATTCAGTTTGAATACACTTGTCTAAAAAAATTGGATCTCTCTCTCTCTCTCATTGGACATGTTTTCTTAATTTGTTTAGGTTAGATTTGCTGTTTTGTAAAGTATACAGGTAGATGTTTAAATCATTGGCTTGAAATGTTGATTTGCGTTAGTGATTTACTTAACTATTGACTAAATGTAATTTAGATACTTATGTCTTTATAGATTATTAAATTAGTATATTGTTGCCCAAAGATTGACACCAAAGTACATAAGTCTATTACCATTGTAATGGCACTGTTTAGAAAATCTATATTACAGATATTTACCAAACTTCGGCTACAAGTATGGGACAACCAGTAAGACTTAAACTTACTACTTAGTTGTAATCATTTGCTAATCTAGCTTGCTAACCATTATCTTGTAGACAGGTACATAAATCCAAATGATGTCTTTGTTTCCAATGTTAATGTGTAGTCTTTTAATGCCTTCAAAGATAAATATAAAATAACCATTCAATTAAAATAGTTATCTGAATATCAGCTTGACATTACCATGAAAATATTTATAGAAAAGGCACTGGGAAGCTATATTATGACAGTGGGAAAGTGACTGAAGCTGAGGTGCCAGGTCAGGGTCAATAACATTTCAGATTCTTTGGATTGTATCAAGAATCTCTAAATATATAGCGGGAGCACCACACCAGATGTGGTAGCAATATTCAATGCATGGATGAATGGTACTTATAAATGTGTAAAATAGATTTTGGTGAGAAAAATTGTTTAACACAACACAGTGAACCAACTTTCATAGCAGCAGGTCTATTTATTCTTGTCAGTGGAAATTATTAGCCTGAGATGGTGCAATTAGTCATTTTCCTGGAGGTTAGCATCATCCATGTTGATGGAAGACAATAAGGGTTCTCTCAAGCAAGTGCATTAACAAAGAAAGATATTTTTATGACTTATTGATGTACCTACATAGATATTAATATATGAGTGCTTATAATTGATAAGTTACAAAGAACAATATGAATTTGAAGCAGATACTCTTTAAAAACCTTTTCTTCTACATTGAATGAAAAATACTCTTTCTGTTCCTCCAATTTGAAACCTGAAATTGTTCTGTTGGAAATTTCCTAGGTGGCCGCGGCCGACCCCCTAAGAGGAACAAGCCCAAATATGTGGAATCGGATGATGATCCTGAAGAAGAAGAGAAACCAGTGAAGAGGAGGAGACGAGCCACACGGGCGGTTGACCCTGACGAGGCCGGCAGCAGTGAATCTTCTCCACCAGCACGTCGCCCATCTAGAGCTGCTGCTGCTAAAAGAAACAGTTATGGTAAGATTTTATGTTATTGTCCTCTTAGACCTTTTCTTTTTTTTATTCTTTCAATCATCACAAACTATTTGTTTTGGCATAAATATTATTATTTAGCTGCATCCTATTGAATTTATTCATATACATATCTTTTCACTCTTTTTGAAAGTCTATTTTCATGTAAAAGTTCATATATAAAGATACTGTATTTATATACAACTTAATCTCTTGTATAATGTTAAATCTTACTTCTATATGTAAAAATAATTATATAATCATTACTATGCATGTAAAGTTTTGAAGTTGTGCAATACATCTTATTGTAGTGATTTCAGAAGCCAGTGTAAACTAGGATGTCTTTGATATTTAATATAGCGAGATAGTTTGTAATGCATCATTAATTTGGACATTAATAATATATGCTGTATCTTTTTTTGGTCTTATGAGGAATTGATCAGTATTATGATTAGAATATACTGAATTGTAGCCTTTTTAGTTTGAATCTATTTTTCTTCATCTTATTTACTATTTTCATGAATGACCACTCCTTGGTTCTAATCTGAATATCAGTTAAAGATTCAAGTTTTATATATATATATATATATATATATATATATATACACACACAGAGGTTTCTTGACTTACGTCAAAGATATGTTCCTACGGCACAAAATAACCTGATTTTTTACGTAGGCTGAAATTCATCTACATAAGCACCCACAAGTCTGGCTTAGGAGCCATAATGAATGGCAAAAAGTTCCCCCCCCCAAAAAACTACACAAATGAGAGATAGTGAATGTAGTACAATCCAATAGGGCATAAAGTCGATGAAGAAACAATGCTATCTTCCTCATATAGTGATGCGTGATGATATATTATGTTATGGGAGATGGTGTCATAACCACAAAACTGTACATCAGGTCTGACATAACCTGGGGGCCGTATGTGTGTGTGTGTGTGTGCTGTGTAATAATACACACCAAGATATATATATATATATATATATATATATATATATATAATACAAATAAAATTTGTCACTTAGGTGATTGTTATTATATTCATCACCTTGACTCTGGTGTATCATAAATGAACCTTTTTTTTTTTTTTTTTTTTTTTTGTAATGGATCTCTCCATTTGTCAGAAGCTTTCAGCAATCAATTCTTAGATGCTTCAAATTTATCAGTTTAGAGGTATGGACTATTGATTCTGCATTATTTGATCCATCACAGATAAATTTTATGTTGTTAGTGAAGTCCTAAATATCGTAATTGATCTAGCAAGACAAGCTTGTTAACCATTACACCATGTCAAAGTGTCCACGATATGCAGTTATAACTCGCATCTCCAAGTATTTCCCCTTCTCAAGATGAATTTCACAAATGGTGGCTCAAATTTCTAAAATCATTAGAACATTTATACTATATAACTAAAAACCATGGCAATAACAAGCATTCATAACTCAAGCAGTCTGAGCATGAATGATGTGGTTTAATGGCTAGCAAACTTGTCTTGTTAGATCAACGATGGCTGAGCAGTGAGTTTGTCCTTCATGCTTTCGGCCTTGTGCCAAATCTAAGATATACTTAGTAAATCACTAAGTCTATATATCTTACTTGAGACATTCATTTCAGTGGAGTAACAAAGTTATAACTGGATACACCTGCCTTTATAATTTCACAAGATGTGCAAGATGATATCCGATTTTCATATCAAAGAATGCCAAAAACAAATCCATTTAAATAAATTTTCTTGGCAATCTTTTGAATGGAAACCTTTTAATTCTTCAATGGGCTACAATAATTGTTTTTGTAGCAAAATGTTATAAAAGTTGATTTGTGAAAAACAGCATTTTATATATTTATTTGTATGCTACAGTGGATGACTTTGTTATTGGAGATGAGTACAGTGATGATGACCTCAGATATAGACGCAGGACATACAAGGAAGATGATGATGATGATGAGAATGATGAAGATTTTGTAGCTTGGGATGATGAAGATTCTGGAAGCGATTGGGAAAAGAATAAAGGTTCAAGTCGAGGCCGGGTGAGTAAGAGCTTGATAAGAAATTGATTTTGTGTGCCAATGTGTTTTTTTATATATATATATATATGGGGATACTTATTTGAAATAGATGCCCCATTTTTATTTCAAATAGGAAGTGCTCACTGTAATAAGATTTAATGTTTGAATAAAATAAACCCATTTATTCTTTATATATATATATATATATATATATATATATATATATATATATATATATAGTCCTAAATATCATAATTGATCTAGCAAGACAAGGTTGTTAACCATATATATATATATATATATATATATAAGAATAAATGGGTTTATTTTTAACCCAACATTTTTATTCAAACATTAAATCTTATTACAGTGAGCACTTCCTATTTGAAATAAAAATGGGGCATCTATTTCAAATAAGTATCCCTATATATATATATATATATATATAATATAATTATTTTATTTTTTTTATTATTACATTTCTATCAATTCCCGGCCAGCTCTCTTATATTGAAATACTGGTTTTGTTAAAAAAAAAAAAATCTATAAACACAATGGGTAAATTGAAAAATTCTAAAATAACTATAACACAGTTACAAAAATCACTGAGACAATGTAATGCAGATTTTATCACAGTCACAATAGCATGTTTGTTTTGTAATTGACCCCTGAAGATATCTTAGAAAAGGTCAAAAGTACTTGGGTTAAAAATAAAAGGACTATGGTGTCTTCCTTGATGAATTTCATCTCAACATCGAGAAGCTGATTGAACAGCTGGAAAGGATCAGTATAAAAATAAGTATATATATATATATATATATATATATATATATATATATATATATATACACACACACACACCACACACACATTATTTTTCTTGGTTGTGCCACTGTGGGGTGGGGGGTTTATTACTAATATAAATTTTAATTCTGTTATTATACATTGAGCACTATTTTATTAGCACTCAATATGCGATATTTTACATTTGTGTGTTTAATAAACCAAGAAAAGTTCAAATGACTTATCTGGTTAGCTGACTCAAGAGCTTTGCTATGAATTTCCCATCAAGACCAGATGTTTTGTAAATCTATTTATTCATATTTAGATATTTATCCTAAAAACTTTTGAAAAGGCATGATACAGCTCTTCTTAAATCTTTAACTATGGTTTTGTCATAAGGATACAACAATGGTAGAGTAAATCATTGAGTTCACTGATAATTTACCTTACCTGCTATATTGTCAGCTTTGATATTATGATAAATCTTTGAAAATATTTCTTTCTTTTGTGACTGAGATAATTGTACACTATTAGTTTCTTAAAATTTTGATTTTTATCAATAATGGTTTTAAGTGATTTATTCTTTGTCAAGTTAAATTGCTGGAAATTGTGGGCCAAGAAGTAAATTCAGATGAGATTTGAATCTACTTTTTCTTTTTAATTATTTCACCCCAAACAAGGTAATAAAGCCACTAAGACACAAGTAGTTCCTGAGTGTGAAAGAATATGAGAAAAAGAAAACCATTATTAAAGAGAAAGAGCAATAAAAGTACAGGAATTAAGAAGACATTGTATTTAAATTTTTGGAGATCAAAGTTGACTGGAAAGCAATAGGCCAGAAGAGTTCCACAAGTGAGAAGTGCAAGAGAAGAAACTATTAACATTGAACTTACAGTTAAAATGAAACCTGGGTGCCAATCTAGTACTTAAATTCATAAAGTCAAGGTACCAAAGGGCAAAACTAATCAGAAAAATTACCATGAGAATATTTATAGAAAAGACACTAGGAAGCTACATTACAGCAGTTGGAAAGTGACTGAAACAGAGATGCCAGGTCAAGACCAATAAAATTGCACATTCTTCTTTGGATTTTATCAAGAATTTTTAAATACATACCAAAAGCATCAGACAAGATGTGACAGCAATATTCAATGCATGGATGATGCAGTAAACTTATAAATGTGTAAGATAGATTTTGACAAGAAAAATCATTTAGCACAACACAGTAAACCAACATCCTGGCAGCAGACCTAGCAATTGATTCAATATAATCTTTCCACTTCATATCAGCAGAAAACTTACCATGAGAGCTTATTGTGACATGTAGCAATACATAAAACATTTCGACTGCTGAAACTTGTAACCAGGGTTTTTTTTCTTCTATTCTGACTTTATTCTGTGCTACATTGTTGGTTGCCTAGTAATAGTAGTAATATTTGTTTGTTAGTACTATAAGAATTACAAGATTCTTTGAAAATGAAGTAAGTAATTTTTGCCAAAATAAATGAAGAAAATAAGCAACCTCCAAAATGATATATATATATTAGTTTCTCTTACATAAATGTTTTTTTTGTAATCTGCAAGCCAATAATTACATGCTAAAAATAGTTATACAACAGGACAATTAATTATATTGAAAACTAACTCTATTTATACCAATTAACCACATTTTAAAGTAAAACCTGAGCAAATAATAGTTGTTTCAAAACTCTTATTTGCTTAGTTTTTACTTAGAGCATTGACTTTTTGTATAAAATATTGTTTGCTTTTGTATTTTATTGATTATGCACATTCAATTTTTTCTTTTTTTCAAAGCATTGATTATTCACTTTTGTGTCAAAATCTCTGATCCGCTACTTTTCTCCACTTCAAAACTTTTAAATGTTTTTAGGGCTGTTGATCTATTGTGTAAATTTTCAAATCTATCTTGAATTTACACCTACATCTCATTTTGTATAATTTTTGTTGTCATAAATGTTTTTAAATTCTGATCATTATTGGAAAACTTAACAAATTTTCACTGATTCAAAATCTTTTGCAAGCCACTGTAGTCATTTTTGGGTATTTTGATTGGTACTTCAGTCAACATGCTTATAGAAAATTTCATTTGCAAATTCAATGCATACACTAGGTAGTTCATTGATATACAATATACATTGAATATTGAAGGAACATATAACTTCATTGAAAAACACTGGGACTCTATAAAAAGGAAAAAAAGAACATTAAAATTTGCTTTCTATGGTAGGAGACTGAATTTGACAAAAAAGGGATTTTGTTCCTATTCGATTCTGTGTTGACTAAGTTGTATTAAATAACAAATTGAAGCTGGCTATAAAAGTTAATTATTTTTTTTCTTTGTCAAATATTTATTTTATTCTTTCCTCTATTTTAAATGATTTTTTCCTATTTTCAGGGTAAAGCTCGAGGTAGCACCAAAAAGATGTCACTCAAACCTAAAAGTGTTGGCCGCAAGAGGCGGAAGAGAAGGAACTGTGATGATGATTCTGATGAGGAACTTGACTCTTATATCCCAAGGCCAAGCCGAAGGAGAGCAGCTGCACGAGCCCAGAAGGTGGAAGAGGAGGAAGAGGAAGAAGAAGAAGTGACTTCCAAAACAAGCAATACTGATAAAAAACAACGTGTCCCATGCAAGTATGGAGAAAACTGTTACAGGCATGTTGTTAGCAGTAACTCTGTTGTATTGTGTATGTCTTGGTTGTATGTCTTTGTTTGGTCCCTCAATTGCTATTATTTATGTATGTCTTTGTTTGGTCCCTCAGTTGCCATTATTTGATATACTGTACATAAATGTTTGTGTTTGTAGAATGTATAATAGTATCTGAAACAAAAGTGGAGAAGCTTATAAATGACACATTTCACCAATGTCTGTTGGTCTTGGCTTCTTCAGTTCGGAAAACCATCTTTTACTTTGTAAGGATTCTACAAAAATTCTTGAATTGTTGTTTAATTTGTACATAAGTGTTTATATCATTTCTTTCAATCATTGGCTTATAATCTGTAGTAAAGCATCCAATGTATTTGGATGCATAAAAAAACAGAAAAATAATCAATGAATAACAACTGCGTTATGGAAACATTTTGAGGAAGCTAATAGATAATTTTGAAAGAAATGTCATTGATTTTAAATATGGTCATATCAAGTCAGTTTTGAATCTATTTAGTTTTTATATTTCATGTTTCTTTTTTTTTTTTTTTTTTTTTTCACTTATGAGAACAACAGAAGATTTGCAGAAAATTAAAGACATTTCAGCCAAGATTCAGTAACTCATTGATTGTAACTTGCATGCTTATTAAAAGATTGTTGGTGGCAATGAACTCTATCACAAATTGATTTATTTTACTTTTTTTTTTTTTTTTTTTTAGAACAAACTCAACATAATCAACACTCTTTTAATTTTAAATATTTATCTAATTTAAAAAAATACTTGCATTGCTGCTGCTGCATTGTTACCTTTGTATAATGGACGTCTCTTTTCGTTAATTCTTACCCTTTCCCATCAAATATCCTGGAACCACACTCCATTTTTGTTTCCCAATCATTTACAACCAAGACAACTATTCAACTCTGCTTCTTTCATATCTGTTTGCATTTGTACCATCTGTGCCTCCATGTTCTAAATGTTTCTCACAGATTTCCTGGTAACCAACGTGGAAAAGACAGCCTCTCTTCTATATTTTAAAAACAAAAAATTACTAAGAAGCCCTAAGTATTCAACAATATACTTTTCCAATAGTAGATTATTCAGAACTGTAGCATAATTTGTTGCATTGACATACAAGAAGCAGAAATACAGATCTGAATGCATGGTGGTGCTGAAAATAGGAAATGCAGAAGTTATGAGCCACTTGACTCCCACTCTCTAGTTCCATGGTAAACTTCTTCAGAGATTATGATATACATTTAAATTCCTCATGTTAAATTGACCACACACAGATTGGATAAACTTTGAAGCCTTCAGCTTGATTTTAAATTTCATAATGGGAAGAGAGAATTTGGAGGGAAAAAAAAATTTCCACAAAGAGAAATCACATGAAATCACCAAGGAGCTTGGAATATTGAAGCAAGTCGCCTAGGAAAAGCTTGGAATATTGAAGCAAGTCGCCTAGGAAAAGCTTGGAATATTGAAGCAAGTCGCCTAGGAAAAGCTTGGAATATTGAAGCATTTCACCTAGGAAAAGCTTGGAATATTGAAGCAAGTCACCTAGGAAAAGCATGCTAATGTTAGGAGTGTTTTTTTGTTTTGTTTTTTGAATAAGAAAAACACTGGTAGACTTGTGATAATTTTGAAAGTTTACAAGTTTTTTTCTTATCCAAAACAAGAGATGAAAGAAAACTAATTAGTTTATCAGTATTCAATCCAAAGTTAAGGCTGCTCAATTAATTGATGAAAGCAGCAATTCTAGTGAAGTGTCATTTTAGAGAATCTCTGAAAATAATACCTCTTATTTCTTCTGCAGAAACTACCATGGATAAAGGAGTACAATAATAGTTTTCAGTTACACTATTTTTTCATATATTCACCTCTGTTGACTATGCATTTTCATCATTGATGAGTGAGAGCTTGCATCTGAATGATGACAGTAGTATTATCAGGAAAATGACAAGATAGTCCAAATAGATGTAAACTGGAATGTGTCACATCTAGATTATATGATGGGTAAAAATATATAGCAAGCAAACATCACTGAATGGCCTTGGGTGCAGTTTTTCCCCCCATATGGAGGAATTCAGTAATACACTTGGTCTTCTATGCAATTTTATGTCAGGTATAATTTTGCTAGATGTTTACTCAGCTGCTAATTGTAATAAGGCAAAAATATGGGTTATTACTGAAAAGGTTCAACCTATTCTACCATTCAAGCAGTATCTACTTCTGATGCCATGGGCCAACATAAAATAACAGGCATTGCTTTCATAATGACTCTCTTATAATAAGGATACTACATAGAAATAATTTTAAGTGGATGCATTGCAGTGAAAAAGCCATTATTAACCAAATACATTGAACAAGATGAAAAGACAGGGCAAAAGTGTGGGATTATGAAAAAAGAATTTCATGACAAAAGCAAATTTTGACTACATTCTAATACAAGCAACTGTCCAAAGACCAGTTGGTACAAGAAAAAATCCAAGGTATACAATGAAAGAATGGTGCAAGAAAATATAGAAATTGATGAAGTGCTAAATCTAAATAGCAGAAAATACATTACTTTTCTAAGGTCCCACTTATTACCAAATATAAGGGAAGATGAAATATTCTAACATGATGGCACAACTTGCCAAACGCTGTATGAAAACATTGCTGATGTTCATATGAAACATTTTTGAATTTTTTTTCCTTGAGCCCATATCAAGTTAAAACTGTATTTCATGCTGCCGAGAACCATGTTCATAAATATATAAATTTAATGTTAGTTTTCTACTAGTGACTTGTAATGTTTGCATGCTCTGTTACCTTGTTTACAGATGTTTCTCTCTTTGTACTTTTACAATATGAATACAAAAACTTTCACTACAGTCTTGAATGGTCTCAGCTATTACTCTGGACATAACATTGTTGAACATTTATAGCTTTGTAAAAAATTAAACAAATTGAAATTTTTAGTTAGCTAGTTTGTTTCTTTTGCTTACCACTGTATATTTGTAATTTTTACTGTGCATTGTCACTTGATTAAACCATACTAAACCTGCTCTTTTTAAATCTCAACTATCCTTTAAAATCCTTCTCTTAATGTCTTATTAGACAATAATTGACTTACACCTATAATTCATCTCAAGTTCTCATTTTTGTCCTCTCCAATATCTCTGTTAGTTTTTTTTTTTTTCACTTGTACAAGCTGAAGGTAAGTTAAAACTAAATTTCTCTTACCCTAAAACTTATAAAATAACAACCTTAGGAATATTGAGAAGATATTGATATCCACTTACATTAGACATCTTTTGTTTTGGATGTGGCAAAACAACTTAAGGTTTTTGTCAGTTTTCTGAGATTCCTTAATCCCAGAAATTCTTGCTGTTCCCAATTTCTCTGAGTAATGGTGATTCGCACTATGCACATTGAAAAACAGTTTCTTTTAATGCATACACTTTATAAAAATAATTATTTTATGTTTGCACTGCAGCAACAACCCACAATAACAAAAAACAGATAATATATGACAAAAACAGGAGAAAAAAATGAGGATTGAAATAATAGTAATAATGCATTAGTCTTTTATAAACTTTGTAACGATCCATGCATGCCTTTCCTTAACAATAAGTTTTTGTTTGTGAAGTGTTTTGTGTTTCAAATCTTTTCAGTTCTATTATTTTGTGTTGATTGCATGTATTTTCTGTTGTTTTTTGACCCTTCTTTTCTCATGACTTTTTGATTAAGTGATGGAATTAAATATTCCAATATATTTTTCTGCAATTTCAACTTGTCTATAAACTGATAATCTGAAGATTTTAAAATTTTAGCCAACTGACAGTGCTTAGTCAATTTTATTGAACCATCATAAACTCACACTTTTGGGGCCTGTCATCTTACGCATAACTATAATAGAAATTTACTTAATACAAATGAAAGCTACTGTTAACTTGATCAGAAATTAGTTATCTTAAATAGATATTTTTTTATCTCCTTATTCTTTGGTTTGTTAGTCAGCTCCTACTCACTATTATCTGCTACCTGGAAAATTTTGACTCTTTATTCTTTAAGGTGTGTACAACATCTTATACTTTTTAGAACCCTGTAATCTCCAATAAATAAACTTATAATTCTGCTATTGAATTTTTATGCTAATTCAATTAAAAGCACACTCAGTTTTGCTGTAAAGTTTATATAGTTCCTTGCCAACTACAAATTCATAACAAGTGAGGTAAAGAAATGGTTTTGAGTATAATTTATATGACTGACAAGTAAAATGTACTGCCTCGGTAGAGAATGTGTTGGGTTGAATTGACGTATATACTTGTAGGTTACAGTTTCACTGGTGATTACTTTATTGGCATTTTTCCAGATATTCTCTATATGTATAAATATGTACCATTAAAATAAATTGTAGAATTTTATTTCTGGATCATATTAGATAATCAAAGACTGCATTAACCAAAAACAAAGATAAATATGAGAAATTATAAAGTAGTCCTTGAAGTCGAACTTGAAACAAAATTTTCTCTACAAAGAAACTATTTGAATATGTGCAAATATACATCATGAAATGACTTACAAGTTAAGAATGTTTAGCAGATGAAAAAAGGAAAGGTCGCAAAGGATAATGTGGAGAAAAGATTTTAAAATTATAATTCTGGATATTATTTACTTGTATTATATTTGATTCAACTTGTCTAAACTTTTTATTAGAAAAAGGAATTTTTAACTATTAACATTTCTAACTTAACTATATATCTGTTGAGATTTTAAAATGTCCTTAAGATTTCTCTTCATATAATTCTTGTTTCATAAAGTATTTTTTCTTTTGTCATCGAGGATATGTATTGGAAAGAATTTGCTAACAGCTAAATTTATATATCAACATTTGAAAGATTCCAAGAGTAGAGATTGGATAAGTTAAATCTCCTAAAAATTTATCTTAAAAATTAAATAAAATATACTTTTTAATGTGTATCAAATTTAGAATTTTATATATTATACTTTGTCCCATTTCAGATTTTTCTTGTATCTTTTGTTCTGAATTAAATGGAAGTTTTTAAAAAATTCTTTTAATTCCAGAAAGAATCCTTCGCACTTAAAGGAGTTCTCCCATCCTGTTGATGATGATGCAAAAGGGGCTGAGAAAGATGATTCCCAAACTGGAGGTGAGAAAGAGGAGGCAAAAGAGAAGAGAGCCCCAGAAAAAGAGAAGCCTGAGTGTCAGTATGGAGTTGGGTGTTACAGGTCTGAATGCTGTTTTTGTTTTACAAAAACTGTTTGGCTTGTTCAACGAAGCGTGAATGTCATTCATGTCTTTATTTTAATTTTGCTATTTTCTTTACAATATTTGGTTTTAAATATTTTTTAATGAATTACTTTCTCATAGTGCAAATTTTGAACCAATATTAGAATTGTTTTGCTTCAATATCCTTTTTATTTCGGCTATTTTTAGTTTTTGTACCTTGTCTAAAGAATCTGCATCTGGCTGCGAGTGAGTAAGTACTGATGTTAGATTGAAGAAATTTAAAAAAAAAAGATTTCGTTAATGTTTGATAATTAACTTTGAAATATAACTTCTAATGTTAGAGGATTTTTAAACTTATACATTAAGTTCTCATATCAAAATGAAACAATTGCTTTAAGGGATTGATATTACACTTGTAGAAAGTTATTTTTCACCTTTTTACTATTTTAAAAATTATTATGTTTAATATAATTGGTTAATATTTCATTCAGTTTTGATAAAAAATATTTTAAGATAATTGTGAGAATGGAAAAAGACATTAGTGTAAAGCAGAAGATTTAGCCAAACAGTGGTCAGATTGCATTTGAATCACTTGTCATTTAATGTAGGAGTATACATTTAAAAAAAAAAAAAAAAACATTTCAGTATTATTACAATAGTTTATTACATAAATATAATTATTCATATAACTAAATTTAATAACAATACTGACTAAAAAAAATATATTTTAAAGCCTTTTTCTTTCTCTGGTTTGTCAGGTAACCAAAAGTTTAGTTGATTCTGAATCACTATTGTTAGAAGTGATTGTTTGCACCTGGTTCTTGTTGCTTATCAAAACGGCTTCACTTTTATTTAAAACCTATTCTCAATCTTTGTCATTGTTGTTTCATTTTATCTAGTGCCAAATCTTCTAGTAACTATAAGCATACAAATCTTGTATTAGTTGTAAGTAGTATCACTGATATAATAGTAGTTATAGTTATTTTTTTATTGTTATGACAACAGGTTATTTAGTTTTATATACAAAATTGGAAGATTCTGATGAAATTGTTTATATATATATATATATATATAATCGCAAAAGATCTTGGGAAATAAGTGGATGCTAATGAAGATCTTTAGTTTCTCTATGAATTCAGATGCAATTTGTGAAATTTATTTTACTGTTTTGTTTTCTGAACTAATGTGGGGTGAATTTTAAAATGTTTTGGTGTAACTGTTGAATATAGATTTATTTTAAGTGTTTACTATCTTTTAGATCTAAGAGTTTAAATTGGATTCATTGACACCTTTTCCTAAAATTTTAACATGAGCATATTCCTAGTAAACTAGTATATTTACAAAGAGGTGACTGTCAGAATAAGAAAAAAATTGATTATTTTAAAGAAATAATTATGAGATTTTGGGGCTAGGATGGATATGCAATGACAAAGGACAAAAAAAGAAAAACAAAAGCTCTCTTTTCTTTGTAGCCCCCATAAAAAAAACCAATCACTGTTTTTATGACAATGTGCTATTGGAGAGTAGGGACCAAATCTATTTGTCATGAAATACTTTTGATGACTTCTGTTAATGTCTTAAAAGTAGTTAAATGCTTCTGTTCTCTTTTCTTCTAATGTTGTCTATACAATTAAGTTCTTCCATACATTGCTGTCATCAATGATTCTTTTTCTTTTTAAAATTCTTCTCTTCAATTTTGTTGCTTTTATTGCAATATTTTTGTTGGTAATTTCTACAGTTGCCTCCAGATGATTGTGTTATCTGGCAAATAATCTTAAATATTTATTCCTTTATCGCTGACACCGTGATAAGACATTTTTGCCAAATGCCACTTTTACCTGAAGAAAGGTTACTGTCACTTTACCTTGGAACTGTTTAGTTAATAATCAGAATCTTTTCTATTATAGAAAAAACTCACAGCACCGGAAAGAATACAAACACACAATACAGCCAGAGCCAGTGAGCAGACCAAAACGAATGACAACGACACTGAAAGGTAAACAGCAACTAAGACTTGAATGGCTGGCATTAAGTTATGCATAAAAATTTGGTAGGCTGGCTAACATTTCACTTAAGAAAGTGAATTGATCTGTAGTCAATCTTCATACTTTTATATCTTTTCTTGACCAATAAACCTGTTTTGATTATTTAACACCTGTTGACATAGCTCCTATAAGAAATAGCATATTTTATTTTATTACTGGCTAAAGTTTAAATATTTATACATGATTATAAACATGTGGCACAATCATGTTATATTTCAATTTGTGAACACTTCTAGAATCAAATGTAAACTTAGGAAATTATAATTTAGAAATCAGTAATTTTACCAAATAAGTTATGCAAGTTTTCCAATATTTTCATTATACTGATATACACTATAATTTGTTTTGTTTTCAGGATCCTTATAAGAAATAAATATATGAAAATGCCTAGGTACTATGTTTTAAAAAATTAATAAGTTCAGAGGTGTTGGCTTCAATAATAGGTGAAAATCACTTTAAATATTTAAGGTTTATATACAATAACTTTAACTGAAGAAGGCAAGCAAGTCATGAATTTAAGTTGAAAGTAAAAAATATTATTTATGGAGGAAATGGAAGTGTCATAATTTGTTAATAATATATAAAATATATTGTTAAATTATTTTTAGGCTTGTTTAGGCAAAAAAAAAAATTTTTCTCTTGTCTTATTGTCATGTTACACTTTAATATATTCTAATAACATTAAATTTGCTTAAGATTATTGCTTTCAAATTATACTACTTTGTGAAATAAAGTTGGGTCTCTTGAATTGTAATTTAAAAAATTGTTTTTCTACTCCTTTTGCTTTTCTGCAATATCTCTAAGTATTGATTGCCAATGTAATAAGTTTCCTCATTATATTTTACAATAAATATTTTTATTCTTGTATTTACAGTGACTGGGGTAGATGAAGATTTTTCTGACCCGCCTCCCTCTGATGAGTCTATGGATGAAGATTCTGAATGGGAACCAGAAGCAGAATCTGTTGGCTCAAACAAGTTAAAAGCATCGTCCAAAAAATGATTCCAATGAGGAAGACACCCACATACAAACCCAAACACCCTAACATGTCGTCATCATCATCATTATCATCATAAAAAGAAAAATTAAGCAAATGAATGGAAGAAAAAGAAAAAAAAAGTTAATTTAGAAAATGAATTCTTAAAACCATTGGAAAGTATGAAAAACCTAAAGAAGACTTAAAATGACATTTTTATCCGCAAGGTACCATCATCCTTCATCAACAGCAGCATCAGCCAAGTTTCTGTTGGTGCTGATGTTATTGTTAATTGTCTTCATGTCCGTCACGCAAAATTTCATTTTCATGATACAAAAACTATTACAATTACTTCTACTTTCACCATTGGACAATTTTGGCATAGAATATAAATTTATTTTGGAAAACATTCTTGTAGAAAATCACTGTAAAATTAACAAACAGGAGTGATAAAAAGATTCCTTCAATGTATTATCTTATATTCTCTATAAATGAACATGAAATTGTAGAATACCATATTTGTAGGTTAAAAAAAAGAAAAAACAACTAAAAATTAATACAATACACAAGAGTTCAGTTTGTAGCCAGTAGACCCTCATATCCATCTTCCTGCTCCAAAAATATTGAAATAATGCCCAATGAGCTTAGCATGCAAAAAATATTGACAGTATGAAATGAAGAGGTAGATAATATATTAAAACATTTAGCTTTCAATTCTCTTGTTTGTTAATCTTATTCTGGTTATCTACAAGTTTGTTTCTCAGAATCATGTTTACCATTTACTCTTTTTTACTGCTTTTAGAAGTAAACTCACCTTAGCTCTTTTTCTTCCTTTGACTAAAATCTTCACAAAAGTGTACATAACCTTTAAGGTCAATCAGTAGAACCTCATTTTTCCTCTCTGTGGCAAAAATGCAATTCTCTTTATGACATTACTGGTAATAACCAAAGACAAACCATTATCTAAATGCATTATGTCTATTAGGTATATCTATGCATTTCTGAGTTTTTCATAGATTTATTTAGATCTTGTAGCATGTTTTTTTGTTCACTATATAAAAATATATTGAGTTATTTTAACTGATAAAAAAATGAAACAAGATTTGAAATCTAAACCTATGAAACTATTATAATTACAATACTCTAAGAATATCCCTATAGGTGATTTGAAACACTTGTTTTTGCTTTGGTGTTACATTTTAAGATTATTTGGTCTTTCCTTTTTAATTTTTAAGTTAACCATTTTTTTTATTTATTTATTTTTTTTTCAAGGACATGTGTAGATATTAGTTTTAAAATATGTGTGTATCTAAAAATACAACTGTTGTATAGCAATTCTTATGTGGATCTCAAAAGCAAACCATGAATTTTTAGAAAGTGGGAATGAATACTTCCTTGCAATTTTTTCTGTATTTGGAAATTTCTGAAAGCTTCCCCCCACACAAACAGCTGTCTTACTATCGCCAATATCTTTAAAAAAAAAAAGAATCAGCAATTCAGTTTTTATTCAAATTTTTACAAAAAAATAATTAATTTCCAAAATCAATCCTGTTACAACCATGTTTTTAATTAAATCATGTTTCATTATTGTAAACATGCACACACATGCACCCCATATGAATTAATATAAACTCATTAGTAAGCAATGTTTAATTTCAACCTTTTGTTATCACTGAGAAAGCCTTTTATTTGAGTCTTGCTGTACATTTATAAACAAACCTAGAATGAGTTGCAGATTTTAAATTCCTGTTACTTGATATTTTTTTTTTCTTTGTGATTGACTCCTGTGTTCAGTCTAACCAACTTTGATCTAATTTTTTGGGCAGGGAAATTCTCACATTGCAGACAATACATAGGCACATTGTTAATGTGCAGAGCACTTCTTTTAAAGGCAGGAATTATGGGTGGGTAGGATGGATAGGGTTCTTTTAATTTTTTTATTATAGTTTTTTTTTTTTTTTATTTAAACGCCAGTTTTCTTGGCACTGTCTTCAATGCAGACTTCATTTATCTGCTTCACAGTGTAGATTTTTTTCCCTTTCAGAATTACTCTTTATCCTGTATAACCCACACTGATGCAAACTTTTTTATGTAAATTGTTTCAGTTTTTAAGAATTGTTTTCTATTCAATGGGATTTTCAGTTGGGTGTTGGTTTGCATAAGGATAAATGAAAAGGAATATTATTATTAGTTATGCCATCAAAAATGATAGCATATTTTGTAAAATTTTTATTGTTAGGTTTACACATGTCAGTTTTTGACTCTATAAATATGCATAGTATTCATAAAAAAATGATGGAATTATTTACCTATGAATTGGCACATCTGTCTAGTATCAGTGTAGTATTTGTGTGCTCTGCCTAACTTAGTACTTGCAGTTAATTTACTATGCTTCTCAAACAGAAGAATGTTGGCATATTAGAGATATACTTTTCCTGGTTACCTCCAGATTTGATGTTCAAAGCAGTGCAAGATTTATTTATTTATTTTATGTCTGCTTACTTTATTAAAATAAAAAATTACAAATAAAAATCTACAAATTTACTATATTGTATAAATTATAGAAGAACCAAAAATGATTATACACAATCTGTTTTTTTGGTTTGTAATTTTCTTTCCTTGTCTTTGAGAATACATTTTGTAGTCCAAGGTCTGCATGTTTTTATAATTTACCCTAAATTTTTAGGTTATCAACAAACCTTACTTGAGTTAAAATTTGGTCTCTTTCAAAGATTTATTAAAATATTTACAAGTATTTTTTTTATTATTATAATTAATTTTTATTACTGTAGTGGTAATAGTAGTAGTAGTGATGGTTGAAAACATGGAAATAGAATCATTTTTATTACAACTTGACAGTTTTGATATAAACAAACACCAAATAATATATATATATATATATATATATATATATATATATATATATATATATATATATATATATTAGTGTTTTTATGCTTCCCCAAAGGTGCCTGTATCAGAACTGGTTAGTGGTAATCACAAAATAATTTTGTTGCCATGATTTTTTTGTTTTTTCTTTTCTGGACACAGATTGGTTTAATTGTGCAAATCATTTTTAAATTGTTTATAAATGTATATAAGAAAACTGTAAATGAGAATAGTCATAAAATACTTATAAACACTGATGAGGCTACATTCCAAATAATCAATTACATCCTGTCTAAGTTCTTTATGTGCATCACCTACTATGACAGGGATACAAATATTCTACTGATTGACAAAATTACTTATTTAGAAGTAAAAGAAAAAAAAAATGTGGCAAAATTTTATTATTGGGACATGGTGGTGTTGAGTGCTTCTTTAACAAAAAAAAAAATTTTTAATTGCTGTATATAGTTTTTGGCTATATTGTGTAAACTTGTAAGCCAAATACTGGGGAGTGAATTAACAGACCAAGCAAGTGGTGTTTGGATTGCCATGAAAAGGTGTGTGCACTATAAGAAGACATTTTCTTAGTGAAGAACATTTTAAAATTTAGGCTCTTTCTGTTAAATGAATTTAAATTTAACTCTTCTTGTAAGATTTTCTACAAAATATCTTACCTTTTAGAAACTTTATAAAGAAGATTAAAAAATAAAAAGTGAATCATTTGAAACCTTTTTTCCCCACTTCCATTTTAGCACCATTACAACCAAAAGGAAATTTCACTCTATAGCCATTTATGATATAACTTTCAATACCATTAATACATTTTTTTTTTTTTTTTTAAATCTTAAAACCATATTATGCATAACGGCTATTTGATTATCATATTTAACAATATCACAATGTTTGGATCCATCCCCACTTACATAGTGCACTCTTCTCATCATTGATATCATTATCATCATCAACAATAGCAGCATCATCATGATTATTAATATTAACCTTCAGATAGACTTGCTGCATTATTCACAATTAGCAGCCAAATTAAAAAGAAAACAACAAACCCTTATTAATTTCCCATCTTCACCACAACTACTTTTCATTCCATACATTTCCTAACCTCTTTTAAACCTTTTTGTCTCCCACATAAACAGTTGGTGTTCTTCTTCATGCAAACTATGCCATCTCATATATATATATATATATATATATATATATATATACCTTTTGCATCTGATAGCAAAAATGATTAGAGGAAGGACAAGGATAAAATTTAAAAACACAAATGGAGAATTCCAACTAAAATAACAATAATAAAATAAAAAAATGAATGGTTGAAAATCTTTATAGTAAGGGAGATAAATACTTCTTTTCTTTCACCAAGTTTGATTGTTACCCAACTGTAGAAAGCCTTACCTTGGGCTATGCTATGAAGATAACAAAAAAAAAAAGTAGATTAAACAAATAAAAATAAAAAAAAATACACATTTGATCTTGGGTAAGTTTTGGGGAAATATAATTTGACAGATAATAAAAGGAAAAATTCTACACTTACTGCTGACCTCTAACTTTGTCTTAATTTGGTGAAATTTGGATGTGAAATGACTGACAGTCTAAATATATTTTAATATATTTTAGCAGAAAAGTATTGTTTTAATTCAGTTCACAATATTTGTCTCCATACTTTACAGCCAACTTCTAGCTCCAGTCCAACTACAAAGAATAAATATCCCTTCATAAATCTTTGTGTATGACGTTTTGTTTCTACAAAAAGTCATTATAATCCATTTTGTCTGTCTTGATAGTGAAATCTCTTCAGTGGCTTTTTACAAAAAAAAAAAAATCTCCCCATTATCATCCATGCACATACCCACACTCAATGAACCAATCATGGCACAGGACTTGTGCAAATGACATGAAGAAAAAAAAATTTATATTCTGTACATCATGTAATCATAGAATCATTAATGAAACCTGTACTATTCAGATCTTTATAAGAAAAAATATTGCCTTTCATAATATTTGTTCTAAATATGACCAAAAATGTTCCTTGCTACCCTCCTTTTTTGTGTGTATGTGTATGTTTTTTTTTCTCAGCAATCTACATCACCAGCCATTGTGATAGTTTTTGTTGAACTTT